CATCCCCAACATGACGCCCGGGGGTGGAGTTGTTGTTCCCTGTAAAACGTGACTCTTTGAAGAGAAAGTCATAAATTTCCATTTGTCCCAACGTTCCCCTATCCAAAATATTTATATAATGACCAAACAAATAGTAAGCAAACCTACCGCCCACCAATGTTGACTCGAAAATAACAAGAGACCAAATACATGCGCAGTATACACTTAAATTCATTTGCATTAAATCCAAAATTTATTTCCATGTATAATTGCAGGTATACAGGATATCTGATGTTCCAGTCCGACGTTAAGTGCCCCATATGGAAAGAAGTAACCAAAAATTGCCCCGAAAAATAATGTCCCACGGCAACAGTAAGATCATGTCGACTGTCAGTCGCTTATTTTTTATTGTTGCTTCTTCGATATCTCGAAATGATGAAACATTGTTGTGATTGTTGGCTTAGATGAACCATTCTCTTTCCAATTGTTGTGATAGTGACTTTAAAAGAGGGTTTAGCATTTGTGCGGGGAACAGTTCTACTAGTGGAGTTTTTGTTTTTCGATAGGAGGGAATTTTCTGTACACTCTCACACAGCAGAAACGAAGAGAACAAGTGTAAGAGGGGGTCTATATGAAACCGGTTTGGAAGTTTCTTGAGTGTAGTTGGTTATTAGTAAACGTCATTTCAGTTCATCAGGGCCGTTGTTGAATGAAATCGCAGTGTTAGCCTTAATCATTGTGGTCCCTAATGAAGTGTAGAGGGATCCACTGTAACTGCAGTAAACAAAATAAATCTGTTACGAACATTTCAAATTACGTGACCTGAAGGGAATCAACGCCGGTCACGTTAGCCGAGCGGTCTAAGGCATTTATTGTCTTCGCTCGCTTGGAAACCGGGATCGTGGGTTCGCATCTCACCCCGGGCATGGATGTTTAGTTTATGTATGCGTTTTTCTGTGTTTGTGTACAGGTACAAGCCTTGCGACGAACTGATCACCCGCCCAAGGAGTCCTACCGAATGTGTAAGATCTAGAAAAACCGAAGTGAACGGAGAAGTTCATGGAGGTAGGACTAGGCCCACTGGGGCTGTAGTGCCAAGGGGGGGGGGGAGGAAGGGAATCAACATTCTGCTGTCTGCATTGATTTTGTTAAAAACTTCTCTATTTTAAAAGGGAGGGAATCATGCGGTAGTGTAGTTGGTTAAGGCACTGTGTTATAAGCTGGAAGGTTGCGAGTTCGATTCCCGATGAGGAAATTGGATTTCTGAATTGGCCTAATCCTTCCACAGAATTACTGGGCTTTTAGACTTTTTCCATCGTCAGAAATTCTGCGTAATATAGGACAAAACGTTTCGGAAACTGGATCTGTTTCCGTCTTCAGGTGAGAAAGGAAGACACCTACTCAGTTGGGCCCCTTAGAGAAAGCTAATCTCAATCACTAGATCTAGTGATCTCACCTGAAGTCGGAAACATCCAATTTCCGAAACGTCGTATCCTCTGTTACCTAGAATTCCGGACGATGGAAAAAGTCCAAAAACCAAATAATTCTGTGTGCTATCCACCACTGTCAGAACCCTTCAGAATCTAATAATCCATCCAGCCGCAAATGTGACCCTGGGGGTCGACTAAGCCTCTGACAGAAATGAGTACCAGGAATATTCCTGCGAGTAAAGAGCGGTCGACGCGTAAGGCTGACAACCTCACTGTCATCTGTGAGCCGATTTTCTAGAAAATGTGGTAGTCTCGACGTTTCACAAATCCTATGGGCCTCCACCCCTTGTTACAGGGATGGCTTTACCTTTTACAATATTAAGAGGCAGACGAAGCAAGTGACACAACACAACTGAGTTACAAGCTGAGCCGGTTAAGAAAGAAAGAACTGCCTGAGTTTCAAGACCGGTTTTCTCAACAGCGACAGATCAACTTCACAACCAGTTAATGCAGAATGTGCTAAGGAGGTGGCATGTGCCTTCCACATACTTGCTGACATTGAGAATTCGTGGTAAAGAAACTGCAGGAAGCTGCTCGCTCACTTTTTTCAGTTCTTCAGAATTAGGTTTCACGTCCTACAAATTATATTCCTAACTTTCACTGCATAAGTATTCATAATAAAGTTCAACAGAGTTCCAGCGTGACGATCACAGTGGCCGTGTGGTCTAAAGCACGAACTACCTTCGCTCTCTCGAACGCTGGGGTCATGGGTTCGAATCCAACTCGAGGCATGAATATCTGTGTACGTTTATTCTGTGTTTGTGTTGTCCTGTGTGAAAAGCAGCGACCTTGCAACGGGCTATCACTCGTCCAAGGAGTCATACCGTCTGTGTAAAAGTGATTACGAAACTTAAGAAGAGACCAGGGCCACAACAAAAGGCTATAGAGCTATTGATGAGTGGACGAAAAATTCAAGTTTCAGTGTAATTAAAGAATGTGACTCATTGGCTTGAAGCCTGCTCAGAATTTCGAGGTTTATAAATTGACTGACGTGCAGAATTGTTTCTCGTCACATGCCAAAACTATGCCCTTCAGAATATAGTCTGACGAAACAGTAACAATCTAGACTTCTATTCCTTAAAATATTTATCGACTTCCAGTTCTTAATCAGATCTGTTTTTTATTAAGGGCTTTACGTCTTACGCACTTTAATCTTACTTTGATATTATCAAACACGTTTACGTCAAAACTTTCATATTTTCAACGGTTGGGACAATTTCTTCTTTTTACGCTGAGGATTTATGGAGATATCGAGGTCGTCTTGGGTTCTGAGAATGCACAAGTTCGGAACGAGCCCAAAATGTTGCCGATCGTATGTGTCCATCCGTCAGTTTGGATACATAACTTCAAAAGTTCTCAAAGTGCTCCGATAAAATTTATTGACAGAATTTATGCTAACAGCTATGAATGTTTTATTGGTTTGTATTTTTCCGACCTCTCTCTCTTCGATAAAAATATTCCACTCATTTCTTTGTTCTCAGATGTTCTGAACTGGTGTTCTTCAACGTTAGGTCCTACAGCCCGCACGCAAAATCACAAGTTTACATAATCCCATCTTCAGATTTCTAGAGGGTAGGCTGCGAACTGCGAGTTTCTAATTGCATTCACCGAATTTAATTTGCGGTTACTTTCTTCATTAACGGAGGAGCTGTTAGAACCTGATATAACGCGATGATCATTTGTATTCGGATTAAGGGGCATTAACGTTCACCTGATTGTCTTGTACGTTCAGCTCCAGAACAATGTGCTTTCCGATTCCCAATTGCAACGTCAGTCTCTCTCAACTGACAGGCTTCATTTTCCGCCCACCAGCTTACGGATAACGGTCTGCTAGTACTGACTGGACACTCCGCTAATATACAAATTGTGTTCTTTCTGACAGAATCAATAAAATATTAAGGCTCGGGTTTGTGATAATTTGTAGTGCTTGAAAATTTGGGGCAAGCCAAACCCTTCAATATGTAATATTCGCCATTGCAAAGCTTTTTCAAACATATGATGTGTAGCTATAATTGCTCTAAATTATATAATTCATTCTAATATATAGGTAGGAAGGCTCCACTCGAGTCATGTGACTCAGCATAGGGGATAGAGGTTGGCCCTTTTGAACACTGTATATCAGTCCACCTGTGGTGGCTCACTTGGTTTGGAAACCAATCTATGGGCTAGTCGTAAAAAAAGAATGGGTTTAGAGATTCGACAGAGGCAAGCAGAGAACTGCGTGTTCTCCAGAGCGTTGAGAGCAGGTCCCATATATCCCTTTATCCACTGGGTCCCTGGAACTATTTTCCTGGGGATAATGCTGCCGGGGCGAGAGGCTAACCATTCACCTTCAACTAGTGCCATTGGTCAGAACGCTTGGAGCCATACCTCCATACGTCTTCGTGTTCAACTTTTTACCTTTGCAACATTTCAGACCGGAAGTGAGTAGCAGTGATGCCAACTTTAGTTGAGAGGCACAAATTACGAAACTTCTCGCTATCTGCTTTTCTATATTTTCTGTGTTGCAATTTGTCTCAAACAGTTTTATGATTTCGCCATGTTGTTACATTTCAGCATCCTGTTGCACGGTGCAGATTAGACTTTTGTAGGTTTTGTACCGTCGTTCACTCTTCTATCTTCGTATTCCTTTATTGGACACTACAAGTTTCGGCCAAACTGGCCGTCTTCAGGTGTTGAGGCTATTATGGTGAAGGATTCTGCTGCTTACTGCAATGCGGTTTCTATTCCTTCTATTGTAGTTATAAAATACAACTGATGGTAACCGCATAACCAAAACAATCAGAGGCAACTACAATAGAAGGAAAGAAAACCGCATTGCAGTGAGCGGCAGAATCCTTCACCATAAGAGCCTCAACACCTGAAGATGGCCTGTTTGGCCGAAACTTGTAGTGTCCAATAAAGGAATACGAAGAAAAAATAGTGAACGATGTTGTACATAGACGGCACAAAATCAAACTGCGTGGCTTTAGTCCGCAAGCAAAGTATACCGACCGAGCGACCGCCGCTTGTCAGCGAAGTTAGTGCCAACATTAGCAGATAGAGAATGCCGCGTGGTCAGCGCAACGAATCCCCACGGCCGTTAATCTCGGTTTTCTAGACCGGAACAGCTATTTCCTTGAAATAGCTCCTCAATTATCCTCACGAGGCTGAGTGGACCCCGTTCCAGTCCCACTACTTCTCAGAAAACCTGGTAGCGCCGGGAATCGAACCCGAACTTCTGAATCTGTAGCCAGGAACTGTAACCACTAGACCACAGAGGCGGTCATAATGCCTGCACAAAAGCTCCTAAAGTGAGATTCGCCATACCTTGTGTACACAACCTCATGCAAGAAGAGTCCAGCTTGTTGATCGAAACTTCCAGTATAGAGATTTTTGTGTCCACCATATGTTGCAAATGGAGTGCAGTAACTTTGTAACGTTGATGCAAGGCTCTGCGTCACTATCTGAGGGCAATGCAACGCCCAAGATGCAGTCTGCTTGAGATATCCTGCCCCCGATTCAATGTTTCGCGTTGTGTCGCTGTTTCAGAGCCCGTCCCCCCCTCAGTACGTGTTCTGGTACCACAACGAGCACATGATCAACTACGACACATCACGGGGAGGTGTCACAGTGAGCACGGAGCCTGGGCCCAAGACCCACAGTCGCCTCATCATCAACCACGCCACACACGGCGACTCAGGCAACTACACTTGCAGAGCCTCCAATACTGAGGCTGATACAATTTACGTTTTTGTATCCAAAGGTAAGCTACACGCTAAATATTTCTCAGAATTTTATTAATTAGTTCATAACACATCGTGGCTCAATAACAAGATGATATTGTCAAGTGTTAGGATTTGTTCGTGACTTGAAGTCGGATTTTGGATTGGATGATTGGATTCATTGACACCTTATTCATACACAACTCGGGACTACAGGTAATACTGAGCTATCTGTGATCTATACATCGTTAAACAGGCACTAGGTTCCTCAGCCTTCACTAGTCCTATCCTGGCAACGGGTTTGTAACAATCTCACTGTAACTTCAAATTACACAAGATATCTTCTTTGCATAGTCTAATTCCTTTCTTGCCATTTCTTCTCAATCGTCTTCGACTGCCATTTCTAGAACTCGGCCCAATTCTTGAAAACTCTCAAACGACCTTCTTTGTTCTTTTACACTCCTCGGCACAGACCACGCAAAGAAAACACCTTCTCTATTACTGAGAATGCTTGTTTACTGATCCGTTGCTTATTAATGAACTTCGTATTGTTGCGCGTGTACGTCATCGCGGGAAGGTGTTCATCGAAAACACTTTAACGCTTAAACTAAAACACGCGAACAGTTCCACCGTTAAGAATACTGTGGAGTGTAGACCCGTTGTTATGCAGTGACTCTGTTAAAAGGAGCTCTTGGAAGGTAGCGCACGCAACAATAAAAGAACTGTTTTCTATGCGGTCCGTGACGAGATGTTATAAATGTTAGGTTTATAGCTTAGTCAGTCGATAGTCAGTTTGGTACGGAAGTCTGTGAAGCGGGTGAAGCTGAAGAATTCCACTGTTAGAAGCCGTTATCAGGGAACGGTTGCTGTAGACACAGCAGGCTGAAACATTTGATTGGGTACTGTGATGATTTGTGAATTTGGAAGAGCAGCGGTGGCGCTGTAATTGATTGTACTTAAGAGTCGTGTGTATAAGTGGTCAACAAATGCAGTCATCAATACGAATCCTGTCTATTGTAACCCTACACGTGACAACAATATTTGTTAAAGTGTAGCGCCTTGTAGCCTGGTATAAATTTACTGAGCGCTCTGCATGGTGTTCCCTTCTTGCTTACTTGAATCACTCTTCGATCCTGAAGATTGAAACGTCGATAAATTTCTACCAGACTACACGGTTTAGTATTTCACCAGATGACGGTGTTCCTATTCACCGCCGTGAGGACCTCAGGATTAAGATTATATTTTGGCTGTCAAGAATCCTTGAACCTAAAGAAATATCGAATGAGGGTCACGAGTTTCTGAAGGCGCTGAATATGAAGATTGTTACCTTCTGAGGCGTAACACAGTGTGCGGATGTTGCTGAGAAACCTCCATCTTCAGGATAAAATTATTATCTCAGTGCCACTTTTCCCACGTCGGCATATTCCGAAGACCTGAAAGTGGAGACAAGATATTCTTGTGAAACTCCAGTAAAGATCAGATCCCAGAAGACAGTAGTTTCCACATTCACCGCCGTGGTAACCTAAAATGGAACATTTATTTAGCAGTAACTGCTACGCGACGGCCAAGTACATAAGACGACATGGTAGTTTGTTCTCCCTAGCTAAGTTCAGTTGTTCTATTCCTTCCTGGTACATCCAGCCACACGTCTTTGTGTTCCTGTAGCTGACACAGCAGAACAGAATGGCACACAATTCGCAGTGTAAGGACAAAACGAGGGCGCAGTATAACAAACAATGGCAGAGTCCACCTATTCCACGAACAGTGGTACGTTATACGTTGTGTAACCAACCTTACGGAAGAAAAGTTCTGTGTAAAATGTCTTTAAAATCTCCCACAATCCTATGAATACCGGAAGAATATTGCAAATAGAATCTAGGAACTTTCTGATGTTGACGCGACAGTTTATAATACTCGTTTCTATAGTGGATGGAATATAACAGCTTATGCTGCCTTCACACCTTCTGCATATTTTTTATTATTATTAGTGGGGTGCGACTAAGTCCCTTGTACTGCGGCCACTTCTGGCCAATTGTACCAGCCCCGGATGACAGGTGAGGGTGATTGTGGAGCAATTGGTGGAATGAAGATTGGCAGGGGAAACCGAAGTACTCGGAGTAAACCTGCCCCAGCGCCACATTGTCCACTACAAATCCCACTTGACCAGACCAGGGATCGAACCCGAGCCGCCGCGGCGGGAAGCCAACGACTAACCGCTTGAACTATGGCGCGGCCTTTAACTTCTGCATAAGTAGCAAGTGTACTCAGCGGGTTGGTGCAGTGGTAAACACTCTACAATCGTATACGGGAGATCTCCGTTCGATTCTCGGTCTAATCATCTGGGTTCTGATTGAGATTTTCGTGATATTCCGTAACGCCTCCAGGTTCATGCAGGTTATTAACTGTATTAGACAAGATCTTTCCCTTCCACTTGATCTCTCATCTGTGACTGTTAGTCTGTCGTTGGCCAAGCTTAGAAATTTCCCAATTTTCCTATAATTTTGTTTCAGATGGACAGTATTATATCTAACTGCAACAATGAAGGATTAATAAATCAGATTGTTCTGCTTCGGATTAAGGTTTTTGCCTTTTAGTCTGTGCTTCAACTTGATGTGCCGTTACCGCTGGCTGTAGACTTGCGTCAGCGCATCTGAAGCCCCGACTTTTTTTTTTTTCCTGTGGTGCTACAGCCCCAATTTGGGCCTAGGCCTACCTCCATGAAACTCTCCGTTTCACTTCGGTTTACTAGATCTTACACATACGGTAGGACTCCTTGGGCGAATGATCAGCTCGTCGCAAGGCCTCTACCTATAGACAAACACAGAAAAACGCACACAAACATCCATGCCCTGAGTTGAAGCCCCGACTTACTGTGCGTATATATCAGAATCTCATCAAGTTCAGTATACAGATGTGGGATTTGCTGGAACTCAGAAGTCCTGAAGCCTTCTCAGAAATTCAGTTATTTTAAAAACTTTAGTCCCACCCCGAATTCAAAACATCTGGTTTCCTACAAAATCAACTCTGTGGTTTGGTGTAACGGTAATGCTCTACACTCGTATTCGTGAAGTGCTTGGTTCTAAACTCGGTTAAGATACCGGCTGTCTTGACTGAAGTTCTCATGCATTTTGTGCGCAAAAGCTGTCATAGTACCTCTGTTAAGCTACGGTAGCACTACAATAAATTCTTTCTAGCTCTGATTCTTCAGTCAAATTGCTATTCCACGCTATATACGCAGTATAGACACTGGCAGCTTCTTAAAACAATGTAAACGTAAGGTAAATTTATCCCTGTGCCTAACTATGCACTATGCCATGAAGGCGTGTGGGGAAGTGGATGTATAGACCCACGTTTTCTTGATCTCGGCACTAGCTGGAGGTGAGTGGTCAGCTTCGGGGAAAAATCCTCCGGTATCCACTGGATATGAGGGTATGTGACGCTCAGAGGCGGTCTGGACGACATGAGAAGTAAAAATTCTTGCCCACGCCGGGATTCGAACTCCGAACTTTTGGTCGCCCAGCCTGTAGCCAGTCATTATACCGACTGCTCTTTCCCAACTGTCTCTTAAAATAATGTAGAAATAATTATTTCCTCAGATTTTTGTTATTAGGTTCATGGGGTGGGGTGAGACTGCGTCCACTTGTTACGTAGGCCACTAACTGACCTATTGAACCAGCCCCGGATGATATTTAATAAGTTTAAAGCAGTCGGTGGAATGAGAATTCGTAAAGGAAACCGAGGTACTCGGAGAAAACCTCCCCCAATGCCACTTTTTCTTTTCCTTGGCACTACAACCCCAGTGGGCCTAGGCATACCTCCATGATCTTCTCCGTTCACTTAGGATTTTCTAGATCTTACACATTCCGTAGGTCTCCTTGGGCGGGTGATCAGCTCGTCGAAAGGCCTCTACCTGTACACAAACACATAAACACACACAAACTAAACATCCATGCCCTGAGTGGGATTCGAACCCACGATCCCAGTTTCCAAGCGAGCGAAGACAGTACATGCCTTAGACCGCTCGGCTACCATGACCGGCCCAGTGCCACTTTGTCCACCAGAAATCCCACAAGAACTGACCCGGGTTCTAACACGGGCCGCAATGGGAAGCCGGCCACTAACCGACTGAGCTATGGTGCGGCCCTATTTCCTCAGTTACCCACGCGAGTCTCTGTCTACTGCGCTTCTCTATCCATGGGTTTGCCGCTTTCGCTCTCCTCGTCCATTTATCATCGCTCCTGAGATTCGGTTAATACTTGTGACAGACCCCTCTTTCTGAAACACCCACACGTACCTTCTACCCCACCGCAGTTGTCCCCCACCACGTCTTTGTTACGTGGTGTTCGGCTCCCAAGTGAGATGTCACGGGAACTGCAACTCCTGTCTTGGGATTCTGTCCCCTGGCTCCCGGCCGGGGAAATTAATTTCCACTTGTAACTTCAGTCTTGAGTGTTAAATCGATAACCCCCGGATATTAAGGCTGTGGCTCTCAGAACTCACGGGTTGTGCTCTTTCTGATGGATTCGGTCCACTAACAAACGCAAACGATGGGACTTATAATGGAGAAACAAAACTTCGGTTATGTCCTATTTTCAAAGAGAAACCAGAAGCCATGACTTAAAAACAAATTTGTTGCCTATGTTCTTTAAGTTTTCATCCAGTTTAATTGATTTTAAACACCTGCTGTCTTATGCTGGGTTGGTCGGGTTGGGTGAATTGCTGTTGGTCCTCGCCAGTACAGTCGTTTTTCATATCAAGACCCGTAGGCTACAGGCTGGACCGAAGGAATTCTATTCCCAGGATGAAGAGGATACACAGCAAATTGAGACGACGTGACGTGTGGTCTAATAAGTAGAGCGTGTGAATTAGTGGCGGCGTTGATTACAAATCTGATTACCAGTCAAAACCCCGTGTCTTGTCACTAACTCGTTATATTACTAAAACAGTTAGTGTTAATTAACTAACTCACTGATAAAACTCCTCCAGACTCTGAGAGTCATGCTACTCTGGCTGACGGTCACTGCACGGGTGTGCGTCGTTG